TGTGGATGGTGCTGTTCATCCGGGTTCTTCTGGATCTGGTCATGATGGATTGTCTGACGAGTCTGATAGTGATGATGAGCTTTATGTCCCTGATCTGGCTGAGGATGATTCGAGTAGTTCGTCATCTTGACTTCTTAGTCTTGAGCCTGTTCCTCCTATTACTCTAGGGTTCATGAAGCAGCCTCTCGCTCAGACTGACAGCGATGATGACAATGACTCAGATGAACCTGAAGTTGACCCTGATTTTTTGACTATGAGTGAAGCATTCTTGTTTTGGGTGTCTTATTGGAGATCTGCTTGATTGTTGATTTATTATGATGATTCTAACTGCTCGTGCAGGGGATCATACGGATATATCAGATACGAAAGAGCAGCTGAGCGATGTTTCATCGCTCATGCTTGCCCTTAGGCGGCGTCGTGAGCCTGCTCCGCAAGAGAAGGAGAGGAGTATACTCGGTGCTAAGGAGCATTTGAATGATGGTGCATCGCTTGTTCTTGCTCTGAGACAGCGTCAGGATTCTGCTATATAATACTCAGATGCGTTTGCGTTTGCATGTTTGATTAGTGGTATTGCTATTTACTGGGGATATTCCATATATAACGTCTGTAGCATACCACCATAGCTACTCTATTGGCATCTGAATACAAATCTACATCCCTCATCTCCTGTAGCTCGCTAGATGGACATAAAGCAACATCAGAAGACAACTATATCACGTGACAATATCCCAAATCCTCATGATCAAGACATCCACCAAAGGAACACATCAGTTTCAATACAAAACTATTAGAAGAAAAAGCCGATTCCAGTCCGAACCCAAACATCTCCATCACCAATCCTTCCCGCCAAGACATAGCATACCCATCACCATCAGGTGACACCCTACCTAACCACTTACTCTGTACCAACTATCCAACGAACTACTCAGCAGCCATCCAAGCCACCAAGCCACCACCACAGCAGCAGCAGCAGCCGGTTCGCTGTCCAGCTAGTCTAGCTAGCTACTAACAAATTAACTAACTAGTAAGGAACCCAGAACGAACCTTCTTCCACCTTCCATAAGACAAACAACATGACTGACCCCATGCAGAAAAGCAAAAACCGGATGGAAAAGTTAGCTATTATGGTACTTTTGTTTTCTATTTGAGATGGGTTGCTGCCCAAGTTACGGGAATTACTATAGAGGGATTGGTTCGGGGATGTGTATGTGGGTGGGTGTATATTAGGCACTCTTACTTTTTCGTTTTGCGGGAAGTTGTTAGAAGAAGGGAAGAGAAGAGTGGAGTGGAGAGGAGGGGAGTGAGTCATACTGTGTGTATGTATTGATGTATTTGATAATATAGGTAAGTGAGTAAGTAAATATGTCTCTGAATATTGGTACAACATACGTAGAGAAGTAGGTATTTGTGTGTGCGTGTGTATGTATGTGTGCTTTTGTTCACTTGGTAGTAATACTTTGTAGAAGCAAGCCTAAGGAGTAGATGTCTCTACATACTTACATACATCACCTATCTACAGATCTCATACTTACTCATTTCTCACTAATCAATAACCAAATACACAGTATCATCATCAGATCTTGGTAACTACTATCAGTACCCAACCGCACGACACATAATACTCCCATCCACCCACTGGACGTAGTAAGCAAGTCAGTAAGTAACATAGTAAATAGTGGGTCAAAGACACACCATCCTCCCTCGGTCGGCCGACAGACAGACCGACCGGCCGACCCGGCGCCTCCTAGAAACACGGATCAGGTCATACATACACCTCCAAAGTATTAGGTACCTACTACCTAATAGTCAAGAAGAGAAAGAAAAAAAAGTCACATCATTCATTCTGAAGAAGGGGGAACCCAGGGGATGCCCGTGGTAGCTGGAGAGAGCAAAACCAAGGCGATTGCCAACTTCTGCACGATGATTGGCTGAAAGGCTGTGTGCTAGGCTGAATAAGTGTTCTTTAATGGGCGATGTGATTGGCTACTGCTTAGACGGTTTTTAAATTTTGTTCCCCGCAATTGTTGGGTTAGTTACTTAGTGGTTTGCTTGGGTGGATTGATCGGTGGGATGGGCATGGGATGGGATGGGGCTGTGTATGGATGGATGGATGTTGTTTGTATTTTTTTTTGTATGGGTGGGTATGTGTGTGTGTGTGTGTGTGTGTGTGGGATGGGTGGGATGAAACATTAGAGTATTGAGGATATGGGTTGCTTTGGTTGCTTTGGTTCTGTCTTGTTTATTTCGTTGTTTTATTCAGGGTGATGTTGTATTCTGAGAGAGAGAGAGAGAGAGAGAGAGAGAGTATATAGAGATACCACTATCAAATAAATGGAACAGTACCATCTGGTTACTCTCAAGCATTATGTATGTACTGTGTACTATGTACAACAGAGCAGCGACAGAGAAATTACACTAACCAGAGTGGAGACATGGGGGATAAGTACTGTGCCCGCTTTATGCAGGCAATCGAGAAAACAAGCGGCTCGCTAGGTAACTAAGTGTTAGGTAGGTCACCATAAGCAGTAAGTAACTAGGTAACTACCTGAATAGGCAATTGGATTGATGCGACGAAAAAAAAGCTGATCTACATGTACAAATCGGGGTTTCTGATGTATACATTTGTTCCCATCAGGGTCACTCTACATATCTACGTTCGTTGATATTGCGTTCTATTCTGGGATATTATTTACAGTTTTCTGTCTTTATCCTCGCTTGACATATACTGTGAAGTGATGGAAGTGGTTGTGTCGTGTGGTAGGTAGAAATGCCCTATAGGGTAAAAAGTAGATAGCTTCCTCTCACTCCCTCACTCACCTAAAATACTGCCACACTGCATGCACATGCTACCTCAACATACTAGCTAGCACACAGCCATAAGGAGTATCTATCTGCGAAGCAAAGAGCATAGAACCCCACCGAACTTCCTGGAACCGGACTCAATTCTCATCATCTCATGCAAGCTACGAATCAGGGCCGTGCGTTAGTTATAACCAAGGCCTGAGTGGTCAGTCAACGCCTGTGTCAATCCCTCCATCCTACCACTTTAGACTGACATTAGTGTGTTGGGATGAGCCTTGCCTGCCCCTTTAGCAGGTTAATCATAATAAACCTGTTACTACTATAAGCATCAACATCATCGCTCTCAACCGACGCACAAAGTTAAAGTTGGAACAGCGCTTACTAGAGTAGGTACTGTAGCTGCCTATCCGCAGCAGGGGTTCGGCTGACTTGCCCGTTCTAGTGCGGAGAGTGGTCAGGTGGTATACTGTTATTCTGGTTCGTGTTTCGTAGACAATGCCAATATACACTACTTACGCAACGGGTATTGTGTCCGTCTGTTGAGTGTTTATAGCTTTTTTATGGAAACAGGACTGTGGGTGCTGGGTGACGGGAACGGAGCTGTGCTACGGTCGGATGTATACCGGATGCTCTTATGGATGGATGTAGGTGCTTGTTAGTCCTTAATTGTCGAGTTTATAGTGATAATGTGATGAAGTGGTGGGTGTATAGGCATCACCATAACGTAGTCTGTATGGCGTGCCTATAGAAACGACCGTATTGACAAGCTAAGACCAAGCACATCCAGGTCTCCGTGTCACCTCCGCATTAACGCAAGGAGTGATGAGGAGAAGACGATCGCAACGGATGAAAAGCGACAGAGCTGCGAGTCAAGAGATCTGCCCAGTAAGTACAATACTCGGTACGAGACTCCGCAAGGACAAGAACGGCGGGGTAGGTAGGTGGCAGGCGTCTACGTGGACAGGCAGGCATAAGGCAAGGAAATTCAATCGTAAACCCATTCGTGAGCAAATGCAGGCCTTGTTGATCTGAAGCAAAAAGATGAGGATGAAGAATTTAGGTGACCAGAACCGGCGGTTCACTCCCTGTCTCTCTCCACTGGAATACGGCGGGAACACCCTTCCGTGGATCCACTTGTCCCGTTCCACTGACTCTCCTGGTTGAGATGGCGCTGTTAACCTTCTCTCATGCAGTGGTTGGGCTCATGCCCGCCCGCTTGTTGTGCTTGCTTTCTAATGGGAAATTGGCGCAAAGGCAATGGCTCTCTCGCCATGTACGTATACCCGATGCGGTAGAGTAGTATGAAGTGCAGGAGGGGTCTTGTCACGGCCATTCCGTTGGTGAGTGGGGCGTGTTTCAACCCAGGCATCGTCGCTCCATCATGAATGCTTAATTTTCCCAAGCTGGCTAACTCGAATTCCCTGTTGTAGCAATTTGGTCGTGAGGAGTGCACTTGCAGCGTCAGCACCTGCTGGGCTTTCCGGTGACCGGGCACGAGTGTTGGTTAGCCATCGTGACTAACAGAAGCTAGGCGACCTAGTTTCTTGTACCTGCCTGACCCCAAGACCGGCTTGACTCGTAGAAAAACGGAGGACTCGTGGGCTGAGAGAGCATAGCGCAAACTCTCCAGCTTCAATAGCAGCACCTGCTTAGGTGCTGGGTACATACAAGGTACTGTAATATTCGTTACGGATTTCCCCATTGGGCGATCCGCCGTCTCCCACGACGCTTTCTCTTGTGCTCTCTCTCGGGCACTCGCCCGAGAGAGAGGGAGAAAGAATCCACTCATGACCTTGGCTCTTACACAAAAAAAGCCATCGTCATGACCATCTGACCATCCATGATCATCAAGCTTAATCGCTAGAGCGAACCGGACGAGTGCTAGAGTGAAACCGGCGACACGCGGATAAATCAACGGAAAAGGGGAAGAAGCGAGGCACGGTCGGACCCAGAAGCCTAGTCCACTTTGTAAGTAGTGGAAAAAAGAATACGGCGTCAGAGCCTCTCAAGCTCCGAGCTCGAGCTCCAGCCAGCCTAAGCTCTAGCTCCACTTCCGAATTCGTCGTCTGGCAGATGGCGCGGACTACTACTCTTCGCCAGCCGTTTCGAATCACCGTCAGCCGTGAGGTCCAAGCCCTCGGAAACATAGTCCTCCAATAAAAGTCCACTCTCTCCTCATGTCAGGGTAGGCAGAACATATGATGAGAGGGGAAAGACAGCGTGGGAGGGCAAGGTCGAGTGAGGAGACCACCTGCGATGGAGGAGGACAGACCATTGACCAAGGACCCCCAACACGGCGATCCGTCGGTCGCAAGGACATTCACGTACTGCCTGGATGTAAGTAGGGGTGATTAGTAGGAATAGCAGTATTAGTAGTATGACTATGAGCGTTTACAGAACAGCTAGTTGTAGTACCTAGTCCTACTATATGATCATTTGCAGGCGGCCTCTGCCTATTTTGCACGGAGCCTTCCCGGGGTGCCGTGCGCATAAACAGGGAACCAGTCGCCCATGACAAGATCACAGACCTGCCAGATTGAATTTGTCTCTGGTCACGGGAAGAGATGTAATACATCCAGTACCTACAGGAGTCACTTCCAAGCCATCCGTGCCTGCTTTGGTGGACAGATGGGTTGGCCGTCCTGGATGGAAGATTCATCTGCAGTGCCTTGAATGTCCGTGCTGGGGGCGCACAGGAGAGGAGATCTGGCCCACTTTTCCCCAGATTGTCAGAGTGAGGGCTTTTCTGGCCTTCCATTCCTGTCACCGTCTGTAACACGACCAAGGCATGCTCGGAGGGGTATGTCAATCCTCGCTAATTACCGTCCGATCTGCTCTCACGAATAGCTTTCGCAGTATCTCTCAGCAGTCTGGGGAAGAGATCGGACGACTCGAAAGGGGGGCATCAGACTGGTCAGACGGATCACAATGCAGGGAGGACAAGAGCTCCAAGACTAGTACCTCAAGGGAAATTGGCCTGTGGTGTCACTGCCCGAGCATCTGGCCATCTCCGCACTTGTCCAACACCGGCTGATGAGACCCAAGAAAATGAGAGAGAGAGACAGAGAGAGAGGGCGCAGTGTCCAAGGTCGTCGTAGCGTGGGGTGTGGCGTCCAGCTGAGCCCGAGCCGTGTCATCCCGGTATGCAAGTAATACATAAGACCGACTAGAACGCTACGCCCCGTCATCACCACCGTCATCGGCGTCGCTCTTCCACTGCAGCAGGGCTGTCCGCGAACACATGGTGCATTCAATGCTTCAAACGTGTCCGGTCTGTGAGAGATGAAAGAAGGTCCTGACTTTTCGCCTCTCTCCTTTCGATATGTTAGAGATAGATCGAAATGCGTAGTTGCTTTTTTTGGTAGACTGATCGTCTGGTGTGGTTTTGGGGGGCCCCAAAAGATTTACACTTGGACAAGCCAATCCTCCCGTTCTTGTTCCACCAAACCATTAGGGGGCCGGGGGAAAGTTAACTGAATAATATACGAGAACGAGATTCCCATGATCACGGTCAGTCGGTTGCTGGTTCCCACAGCAATACAAGCACCACCACCAACTCCACCTCCACCACTGCCACCACCTGCACATACCGGTGCGAGGCTGCTCCATAATCTGGACCTGCTTCCCGCTGGCATTGTGTCATCAGGACGGATTCGGGGCTTTCCAGCTGCAGTTCGCAATCAAGGTGACGAACTCTCTCATAGCGACGCGGCCCTGTACCACTGGGGAAGGTTGCCAGTCAATCTGGTTGTATGGAGTCGGCAATAGCCTCACCGGATGGGGCAGATCCTCCACGCAAGCCAGTCGCTAGTTGCTTCGGCCATCACTAATTTTTTTCACTCTAGTCTTACAGGCTGCCGGGCCCCTGGGAGAAGCAGAGAGGGGGGAGGGGAGGACCATCCATTGCATTCTGGACGGGTCTGGGGAATCACCCACACCGGCCGGTCGCCAACCGAAAGGTGTGCCCAGCAGGATCTAGTGGTGAGCGACGAGGATCATCCGTCCGGCGACCATCCATGCGTAGGACTAGGGAAGGTTTATTTTTCTGGAGGGGGACCCTCCCAGCTGGGGCTGTTCTACTGGGGGTAAAAACAAATTTCTCATTCGAGCAGCATCATTTGCTTTTGCGTATCCACCGTGCTGGAGCAGGAGTCAGTGGAAGCTGTAGGAACTGGAACTAGGCACTCGGCACTAAGGAAGGACGACGAAAATCAGGTCGGCGAAGAGAATCGCAGGTTAACCTAGTGAAGTTTAGCATCGCTTTGGCTCGCTTCTTTGGCGTTTTTCTCCGTCTAACGATGGACCAATCAGAATGCAAATGTGCACAGTCTTGGCGTTCCTCGACCCCCCCGCATCCATGTTAGAGTTTAAAAAAAGCGCAGCCCGGGACGGGATGGATGGATGCCCTACTGACCCTGTCTTTTTTTTCCCTTTTCCTCATTTTTTTTTATTTCTCTTGTTTTTGTATTTATTTAGTTATTTTGTTTGATTTTCTTGATCATCATCATTCCCAGATCCTTTGACCCGCTATGTTAGAGAAATCAATAGAAACAAAACGACTTAGCTTACTCAAAGTGATAATGGTCGAACTGCCGGTATAGTTGGCTTGTCTGGCACGCTGCGGAATCTCCGAAAAGTGGGCTTGGCTCTGGTGCGCATTGTTGTCATTGTCACGGTTAATTATTGCGATTCTCCCCAGACAGGAAGCATTGATCAAAAGTTTGCCTAGTTTGGATGCCCTCTTGATGGGGTCCACTTCCATGCCTCCAATCACTCTCCCCGACCGATGAGGAGAAGGAATGAACCAGAGATGAGCAGGAGGATACTAATGATAATCCTAATGTTGGGAAGTCCCCATCAGCATACATCACGAGAATGTTATTCCCAAGGGAATTGTTTCTCGGAATTTTCAGGAAATTATAATTGATTATTTTTTACTTTTTTGTGCCTTCATTGTTGTCGCGCATGGTAGCTACTGTACTTATGTCGGTAGTAGTAGTAGTAAGTAGTCTGACGGGCTCTAGAGGCGTCAGTCAGTCAGTCCATAGCTCAACCATCAGAACTATAGTACTAAGAAATCAGTTGGTAGCAAGTAAAATCATGAATTAACCACAAAAAGACGAAGAAATATAATTATAATTATAATTCTCATAATACTCCGGTGCAGCCCAGAAGTACTACTAAAAATTCTACTAACTTTCTCCTCCTACTATTATTACTGTTACTACCCTCTCGACTTGCCCACTTGGGTTGGTTACCTTTCCGTCTTGCCATCCATCCCCCTCCAACCATCCATTCACAGAGAATTACTGTTAATACCTTGCCCCATCCCCATCCCCATCGCCATACCCGTCCATACAATACGGATTGTCAGGAACATTATTCATTCCTATGACTACTGTTCGGAATCCTATTGAATAATAAGAAAGACAAAAAAAAACCCAAATTCATTTCTTTGGTTCTACTTCTCTTGCCAGTAAAAATACCATACTATTCCTTATATTAACTCGCTTCCCCATCCTTCTCTTCTCCCGGATCTTCGAATTCAGCCTCGTTTCAAGAGGAAAGATTCTGCCTCTAGTGCACTTCCACTCTTCAATCACTGCCCACGGACGATCCACTACTACTCCTCCTTCTTACCACCACTACTATTACAACCATTCTTACACTAACAGCTAAACTGATTGACTGATTGAAACCTGCCTATTCCCCATCCACTCACACCACGAAATCTTCCTGCTTAACTACCGACTAATCTCCCTCGGGTCCAATCCGTGCTTCCACTAAATCACAGCCAAGTCTTGAACTGCTCCCCACTCCAATCATAATTACTCTATAGGGAGATTCTATTATCCTCAACTCACTTCTTCACCTTCCCCTCCTTAAACAAGACCTCCCCCCAGCAACCTCCTTCTTAAACCACCCTTCTTCCCTCCCCCAATATTGCCGAAGCATTGTCGCCCGTCTACTTACCCCTCTTCCTCGCGCTGGTCTAAACTCCCCCAACCAACCAACCAACCAACTCATTTCGCTTCCCGTTCGCTCACCTTCCTTTCCACCTCATCCTCCCACCCCCTCTTTATCGCCCTCCTCTGTCTACCTCGCAATCATAGCTCACCTCAACTTGAGGTGTGTATGGGCCAATGTTGTCCATGCAGAAATCTCACTCCTATGTGCTCCCTCCATCCGCGACCTACAATAATGTCACCGGTCTCCCTCATGCCATGCCATCGGCCAACCCGGCAGCTGAGCGTCGCGACTCCACCCGCTCGGTCATGTTGACGGACGTCCCCGCCCTCGGCGACTGCCCATTAGTAGACGACTCGTCACTCTCGCACCGAAACAGCATCAGCACCACCGACGGCATATCTAACGATTCGCCCGCCTCGTGGGATGGCGACGCCCCTTCCGATAATTCTCCCTCTGCCGAGGTCGACGTCAAAATTCAAGACGGCTTACACCATCCATTTCCGACGACCGCAGACACCTCGCCGAAAACCTTCCGATTCAACGTGATCGCATCCCACGGCATGGAGGCGTCCATGGACGAGGTCACGCCCAAGATCGAGGAGATAGATGATGTGGACGAGTTGCAAAGCATAAAACCGGTGGGAGTGGAGACATCGATGGCCCATGCGAGTTCTACCCATCCGGATTCCACGGCTGCTCCCGTCAACGTCCCACGGAAACGTGGACGACCGCGCAAACATCCGCTGCCAGCGCCCGGGAATCAGATCAAAATCACCAAGGGTCGATCCAAGACCGGTTGTATTACCTGTCGTCGGCGGAAGAAGAAATGCGACGAAACCAAGCCAGCGTAAAGCTCCCGTCCTCCTTTGACTGGTCCATCCTGTGTCGCAACGGTCGCAGTGGTTAACTTTCTTTCCCTCCCTGCAGGTGTCTCAACTGTCAAAAGAATGCCGTAGTATGCGAGGGCTACCCGCCAAAAGAAATATGGAAGAGTGGTAAGCAGAAGCTTGAGGATGGTAAGTGCACCTTGGACCGTGGCATGCTCGAGCTGCTTTGCTGTGCGTATTTACTACTCCTGGTTGCTTATCCGGCACCTTTGATCCAATTACCTTGACACTTGTGTGAACGTTCTGACTCCCTGGTTCCACAGCAGTTCGCACCCAGAACATGGTTGCCCGCTCTCTACCGCTGCTTATCGACGGCATCGAAACCGAGATTGACCGACGCTTCCTCGATCATTTCGTCTATGGCTTTAGTCGCGTCTTGACCCTGATCAACGATGACTCCAACCCGTTTAAGGAGATCTTGCTCCCTATGGCCACTCAGCACCGAGGTTTGATGCACTCGCTCATGTGCCTCTCGGGATCGCACCTGTCGGGTCTCCATCATGATCCGATGTTGGAGGAGCGAAAGTTCTATCACTACCACCGTGCTATCAGGGATCTCAAGGATAATATCACAGCGTCTTCTGGTACTGCTGAGCAGGACCCTGAGCTTCTTATCGAAGATCCCATAATCGCATCCACGATAGCTCTCAGCTTGAATACCATCTGTGAAGGAGAAACCAAAGGAGAATACCGACCCCACATGGATGCGGCCCGGTACTTGCTGTCGACGCAGCAGCCGAGGAATGAGAAGTTCCGGCAGTTTATTGTCGAGTTCTTCCAGTACCATGATGTCTCCAACTCCATCACTTCTCTGGATCGCCGCCCCGCCCATCTGCAGGGCGGCTTACGGCTGCCTGACTTTGTGCCACACGCGCAGGCAGGGATGTTCCTTGGAGTGTTTGATGGTCTGTTCAATTATATCTCCGAGGTAACTCGGATTCGAGACCGGATCCGACAGCGGTCCAATGAAGGCTACGAGCCTGCGGTTGACTACCAGATTCTCGGTGACGCCGTCTCCATCGACTCCGCCATCCGGGCTTGGGAGACCTCGTATACGCCCAACACGCCGAATTACTACCTGGCACAACTATATCGCCAGTCCACCTGGGTCTACCTGTACCGCACCATCCGCCCGTCCCGACCAAGCGAGAAGATTGCACAGGTTGTGGACGACGGACTTTCTTTTCTGGACCAGCTACCTCAGGATGCAGGTGCATACAGTATTGTGTTGATGCCACTGTTCCTCCTGGGCTGTTCTGCCTTCGTGCCTCGCCAGCGAGAGAGGATCAAGAAGGGCTTTGAGACCCTCAAGGGCTACTCCAATCTCCGCAACATCGAGCCCGCCTTCAAGGTGGTGGAGCGAGTGTGGGAAGTGATGGACACGAAAATGGAAGAAAGTTGGGACTGGGAGAAGATCATCAGCGACATGAACATGGATTTCTTGATTACCTAGGCTATTGGCCGCTTCGATTTGCATCTTGCATAATTTCTTCTTTTCGGTTCGGTCCGGTTGCATGGTCCGTCATTCTTACTGGTGACGATCTTTTCGTTGTTCGATGTATGTATTCCTTTCTTGTCTTTCTTTTTTCTTTCTTTTGTCTTCTTTCTTCTTTACCATTCTTTTCTTTTTCTGGTCTACCGAATGGGCAACAGGACCCAAGGGGATCAGCCCCAAAGCGAGACGGACGGACATGGCGTCAGCGGGCATGGATAGGGGCACAGTTCCGTATACCAACATACCAAAAGGGACACTGGCCGGTGGAAATGGTTTTGAGATGTATTTATATATATGACGGAGTATGCGTCTGATGAGTCGTGATGATATTTCTTCTTTTTTTCATTCTTGTGATACATGTATAAGATTACTGCATTGTATATACAGATAGTTAAGATTATTACGCTTTATCAATCCTTATACCAGGATCAACATTATACCAAATTTGACATAGTCATCCATCAACCCTAGCATTAGCTACAGCAAAATACCCACTAGTCAACTACCCACCTCCGAATGCACCCAACTGAATACTAGCTACCCAATGCAACCTCTAGTTACAGCAGTAGGTCCAAATTAACTTCCACTGACACATACCTGTTCCTGAATATGCTTGCTTTTTTACCCCTTCTTATCATCATCCGTCTCATTTTCTTTTCTTTTTTCCCCCCTTCCCCCTGCATTCTGCAATTCATATGTGTGTGTGTATGGTTGTAGATAAGCTCGCTCCCGCTAATCTCTTTCCCCTCTCGGGATTTGGCTAACTAGTAAGTAAATTCGGGTTGGAATTGGTTGGGCATGAATGAATCATTGCTGGTACTATTTTATTTTATTTCAGTCTAGGAATTTATGGATGGATGGGTTTGGTATGTCGATCATATACATATACCTTGGCTTTGGCTATTGTAAGTGCTGATCTACTTATTTGTAAATAGAGTTAGAATTGTTTTTTGGATGCTATCTAGTAAGGAGCGGAGCTGGAAGCCGAGAGAGAGTGTGTGTGTTATATGGATGATGATCGTGATCGTTGTTGATTTTATGATGTATGTTATTTACCTGGTTTACGAAGGTGGGTAATAACCACGGACTGGTCTATGTTAATGCGTATATCGAATCCAAGGAGTTAAGTCTATTCTATTCGATCTATATATGTTCTCAGGGGGTAAGGTACTATCCAGCTGGCTGGAGTCTGGTCCAGGATGGTCACGTTGGAGTTTTCAGTGTGTGGATCAGGAGAGATGGTATCAATCCATCACTGCATAGTCCCATAGTCAAGACCCGGTTCCTCAGTCGGAATAGGTTGCATGTGCTCTGTTGTTCGAGGGCCGGTGTATCTCCTGTTCATCTAGTCAGTATGTTTCTCTATAAGTCATGTAGAAATAGAATGGTAGCTCACCCCCTCGCAGCAACCCACCACCAAACCAGCGCAAACGCAGCGATGAAAATACCGACGCAGATACCGTAGTTCCTACCCCATCAGTCAGTCCCATCTGAAGTTTTCCTTTCATTAACGGATATAAACGCACATATTCGACACCGTCACCGGCACCGTCGGCGGAAAGAACAGCACCGAGCTGATAAACATCACCCATGTCACCGAGACCCAGTTAATGTACGGTCCCCATCGTCCCAACGTAAACGGTCCTTCGACGAACTTGACCTGCTTTCGGTATATCTGGTGTGCTAGGATCACAGACACGTAGGAGAGGTCTAATGCTGGCGCGGTGATGCTGAAGATCGCGGTGGCGGTGTGGGTTGAGCCGATGGCAATGCAGTTCAGGCAGATGCTGAAGAAGACGACGAACCACACGGCGTTGACGGGGGTTTGGGTGTATGGGTTTATTTGGGAGAGGAAGCTGGGTGGTTTGTGCTGTTAGTTGGGTTCGCTTGTCGGATGAGGGGTGGTAGGGAGCATACGAAGAAAAGGGCAGGGCTTCGTCACGAGCAAATGCGTAGGCCATTCGAGTGTCTGCTAGCATGGCGGAACAGCCGGTGAAGAATTGTACGAGGATTGCTAGACCCCACATGGCTGAACCACCTAGCTTCCCTCCGGCGTTGAGAAAGATCTGGGCTGCTGGGAGGCCGGTGGGGGTGTTGAGGATGCCTTCGTAGTCAGTGAGGCAAAAGCACATTGATATAGTCAGGATCCAGCCGAGTATGCCGGAAACTATCACGGCCCATTGGATGGCTAGGGGGCCTAGGGCTGCTGCGTTGTGGGTTTCTTCGGACATGCTGGGACTATGTGTGAGCGGGTCTGGGTATTGGCATAGATGCAAGGTAGACTCACTGTGTGGTTCCGTCGTAGTCGGTCATTGTCCATGCAACTGAGATGAAGCCTAGTAGGAAGGAGAATACTTTCGATCCCCATCCGGATCCGTCGGTGAAGTGGGTGAACACCCAGGTAGCTGGTTGCTTATCCGGGGTGAACCATAACAGGGAGAAGCAGATACAGAAGGTCGCGGCAACTGGTTGGTCAGCTGTGTTCTAATTACTCGAGAGAATGACATACTATTAATCGGAGCGAACCAAAGGAAGATCTGGTGCAAAGATTTGGTCGTCATTGAGCAGATCACACCCAGTAGGCAGAGCAATATCACAGACAAGAGCACCGTATCCATTGCAGAACTGTCCCGTTAGCTAAGATAGTTGACAGACTACAGACGATGACCTACGGTGAGTATGAATACTCCCCATCCACCAGCTCCGAATTCATACTCGCGCAAGCAAGTAACATCTGGCTGACAGTATAGGCGACACTGGACACTCCCGCCGTCTGGCCGAGGAGGTTACACCAACCCTGTACCCAGGAGAAAATAGGCACATGCTCATCTGGAACTACATGCTTGGTGACAAAGTACATGCCTCCGGCAGTAGGGTATGCAGAGACCAGCTCTGCCACCGAGCTGCCGATACACAAGGCCATGCAGGAGCCCACGAACCAACACCATACTGCGGTTGCCGGGCCTCCTGCAGCCAGGGGAGCTCCGAACGTGGCTGGCACTGAGCCTAGTATACCTAGGATGGAGATGGCATAAGAGACGGTGGACCATTTTGAGAATTCACGTTTCAATTCCTGGACTGTCAGACACCAGATGGGGGGATACAGGCGCTTAGGCCATACCTGTTTGTAGCCAATGCGGGCTAAGAGAAGCTCGTCATTGTCGTGGATGGTGGCCATCGCACTGGAAGCGTAAATATGGTTTCCCGCTAGAGATAAACGAAGCAACGAGAACGAGTGATGGGTTCGTATGCGATATTCAGGGTAGTTCTGTAGATTCCGACCAGTGATCGTCGGGATCAGTCGATGCGGAACTTCACCCGCTCAGTTGCCGATCAAGAGTCGGTGAGAACCCCGCGAGGATCACCACGGACACTGGCGATGAAATTGGGTAATTTAGAGGGTTAACAATGAGAAAAAAGAGATTAGTAGACATCCAACCTAGTGATCATGAAATCGGACGAAGTTCCATCACCAGTCGAAAGGAATTGGAAATCTAGCAGAAGTGGCTGGGAGGGGGGCAGATGCAATAAGATGCATTTCTTATCGGGGCCGAACTGATAAATCCCAGCAAGGGCATCCCTACCTCCAATCTGAGGATAACTTGTCTCAAAAATAATTTCAATCATCGCATCTCGATCGGAAGGGAGTGAAGTTTGCTGCACTAAGGTTCATCTTTCGGATAATTGAACGCAATGCTACGGTAATATCCTGATGTATGATTGAAGAGATAGCTTTTGGGGTTCGGCTGCGTTGAGACGTGTAGATGTCCTGGAGGGCATCCGCATAGAATAGTATATGGGTATATAGCCACTGACAATTAGCAGTGGCGTAACGCTCAATTATAACTCCCAATTTAGCTCAACTTAGTACTCATACCGTATGATCATGGCATGGAAATTGAAGGATTAGTATATCTCCAAGATGGCTGAAGCTGCTGGCTGCAGCAAATAGACGAATTATCAGAACACGCTGCGTGTACATAAACAGTTAATAAATCCAATGCGGCGCAGTGTCTGTGATCACATACAAAGGCTGGCTTGTGTCTTCACAGGAATACAATTCTCTACGAAACGATGATAACTTCCATATACCAGGGTGCACCATATGCATTTAATCGAAAAAGGATGACCCAAACACTGCAGCAAGAGGAATGCCAATTGCTATAAGCTATAAGCATCTTGACACAATATGCTCCTTGACCTTTTCGTAATCACTCAATTAGAAAGGACCCAACTGGCCATTCTTCTCGGATAACTTCCCAATATGCAGCATCCTCCAAGCGTTCTGTCAATGTTCCCTCGACAGATTCAGCGGCACGGAAGTCATCAGATTGAAGACCACCTCTTTTAGAGCAAAGCCGCAGCAGTCCAGCTCTACGATAACGACGCATCTCTTCGCTCTGGGCGACTTGTCTCGTAAGTGGCTGTAAAATGAGAAGATAGAGCGTAGGCGTGTACCAATGGTCCGCCTTTGCAATCTGGATCAGTGTGAACTCCGTGCTGCTGCTCAGAACGGTGACAGAGCCGCTGGTTTCCGTTGATTCAAGGTATTCAGGTCTTCCAAGGGCGATCTGTGCTAGCTCCTTCGTACTTGCTAACGGACCAAGTTGCGTTAGCATTCTCTGCGCCAAACTCACGGGATTCCATCGGGACTTCGAATAGCTGCCGGGTCTAAGACAGACATGCCGATATGGTGCATTCAAAACAAGCTCTGCGCCTTCTATACGGCCAAAGATGTCGTGAGACTTGCGGTAAATCTGGCAATGGGCAACTATTGCAAGATATGTCATACAGTAACGAAAATCTGGAGTGGGCCATTTCAATTTGGCACAACCGTCGGCTCCTACCCAGCTCCACGACGGCCGGCGTTCTTTCGAAGAAACACTAGTCGGAGCAGAGATTTCTGTCCCGTGACAACGTTGAATGCTCCATAGCAAGCCAAATAAGATGTCACCCCTCCACAAACCCGCACAGTACTGTTCTTTCATGTGAGCATGGAACGACTCTGCCAATGCCCCAATCGCCGGCAAGCGATCCTTATCAAACGAGAGACTCCGTGCTGCATAATCTTCTAGTAGCCGAATCCAGCTTTCGTAAGCCGGTTGTGGTGCGTAGTTGCCATCTGGCTCATCTAGTGTAAACCACAGGGGTTCTGGATACACGTCTTCTCCATCGTTAACTTTCTGTGCTGGTTCTCTAGCCTTCCCGGCGTAGCATCTCCAAATCATCTCTTCCTCTGTGTAATACAAAAGTCTTTTCGACAGTAGCTCCTCTTGAAGTGTCCAGCCTCTGGTGGCCCAGCGCGAATGCCGTAACGGCTCCTGGTGATAAAATTGCCTATGACTCTGAAAGACAACAGGATCAACTCGAGACACGTGCTGGACGCTACCGCTACCTTGGTGGCATTGTCGACGCCAAGGAAAATGACTGCTAAAGTACGGTGCCCTTTTGTCTAGAAATCCGTCCTCAGCTGTTCTTGCGCTCGTAGCGGCAATGGTGACAGCCGCATGCTTATAAACGCTGCTCATTTTTGAAGCCTCGGCCTCCCAGTCACTAGGATCATCTTGAAAGATACACAGGGAGTCGACCCATAAGTAACGAATCCCCAGGGCTCTTGTCACAAGAACAGCGTCCCGTAGGGTAGCTGGGAAACCTGCTAGAGACCATCCGCTGCGGAGGTCATCAAAAGATGAGGAGTTGAGAGTAAATCTGGAGTCCCCGCCCCAGCAATAGCTCAAAGCCATCCACTTCGCAGTTTCGCCAATCCTACTAACATGCAAATGAGGCCTTCTGTTTGGTTTGCCGACGTCAATAACGCGTGTGGGAAAGAACGGTGGTCTGTCTTCAAGCATATCACACTGCATATGTTTCTTGTGGCAATTTCTTAGCCATTTGGCCGCCAGTGAGAGACACCGCTTAGAGCCCAGATCAAACGGCAATGCGTTCCGAACGAGACATTCAATGAGATGTGTGTCCTCCTCTGGGATCTCTGCACCTTGTCAACGTTAGCTGTCGTCTTGCAGCCATCGACCTCCCAGGGACCTTACTCTTTGCAATACGTATTTCAAACTCTGCAATGACTCGACTACGACTGTATATCAAATCCGGGATTTCTGACTTTTCAGAATTAGCCATACCTAGAATTAATAATCGAGGGCTGTTAGATGGCCACTCGTTGATGAATTTGTGGATAACAAAGTGCAGCGGCCCTTTATATATCCTGCACGCACATGTATCCCATTCATGACATGCAAAAAAATTGGCGGAGAATACGTCGCTGTAAGATTTTCGAGACCAGAAGTGGCAATGATGTGCCCAAATCGTCTTGCAAAACGTACAGCCAGCTCTCCCGGCATCTTGAAGAGCCATGATGCTGGTATGGTGAGCCTGTATGTCCGCAGAAAAAATATGACGCTGCGACCTCGAATTGTGGTAAGATTGCAAGAGGTCTCGAAGGTCGATGTTTTGACAGGCATCGCAGAAGTTCATCTTTCGCCAAAGAAGAATACTATACTGACAATGGATTTGAGATATTCACGACGAAATTATATCTGAGCCCTTTCACAGCCTCGATATGCTGATGGTTGGGAGACAACTAACCAAGCACATCGTGGACGGTGTGATATCTCCTGAATATTCCAACAGAAAAAGCAATCATGATAGCTCAAGATGAGTTGGGCAGATAGGTACAGCACACACTGCGGGGTGAATGTTTCCTACTGTTTGCATAAAACCTTTTCGACTAGTCCTTCCCACCAACTCAAGTAATCTACCCTCTCAACAGAATTTGTGGATACTATAGAGGGCTTAATTTGCAAAGTCCATGATACGAATAGGAAACAGTTGAAGACCAAAGAGTAGATAAACTTCATAGTTGGCTGTACCTGAGTCCGGGCATCCAGATGGACCAACAGTGCCATACATGTGGCCGCTGAATAAGCAGGCGCTAGGCCGAGAGGGGGAAGCGGCCAAGGCCACGGGTTCTCCTCCGACGAGGAAGTGTTTAGGTGGTCAGTTGCGATTAATTGCTATACTTCCCCTTTTCTTGGTGCAAACCCTTCCCGGCTGTCGTCTTGCAGCATTCAGTGATGGTCCGTGGCTGACAGGGTTTCTCTTCGCCGGTGATCGATCCCTCTGTCCCCTCGTCCACATTCGTTGATTCGCTTCCCCCGCGTTATGAAGCACTATGGCCGACCCCAACATGTATCATACCTACGGCCAGGCTCCGGTGCCTGGTGAAAACCCCTCCGATCCCAATCAAATGCCATATCAGGTGCCTCCGCAAGGCTATCCTGCCGCTGGAGTTCCTCCCGGCCCTTCGCCTCCCCAGCCCGGTGCTGCGTACGGAGTTCCTGCCCCTAATCAACAATGGCCCGCCTATGGCTCTCCCCCGCCAGCACAGCAGCCTCTGCAACAACCACCGTCACAATTCGCATACCAAGCCGATCCGCAAGCTGCCGGGGGTGCCCCTGTGGACCCCGGAATGGCTGGGCTAGCATCCCAGATGAGTGGTTTGGGAATAATGGGAGGTGAAGGAGGAGCGGCCCGGTCAAGCAAGAAGAAGCATCGGCATGCGCACCATGAGATTGCTGGTGCTTCGGCATCCGTCGCGCAACCCTTTGCAGCGGCTCCCCAGGACCCCATGCAGCCAACCTCGCAGTTCCTCAACACCGGCTTGAACCAAGCACCTCGTCCCATCTCGCCCGCCGCGAGCATCCCCGCCCCCTTAAACCCAGCGTTCGGAGATGGTGCCGGGGCAGTTCCGACACAAGGGAAGGTCGATCCGGAGCAGATTCCCAGCATTCCCCGGTCTCGCGATATACCTGCGCAATACTACTTCAATCATGTGTACCCGACGATGGAGCGGCATCTTCCTCCTCCGGCGGCGGTTCCGTTCGTCGCCCACGACCAGGGCAATTCGTCCCCCAAGTACGCCCGTCTCACCTTGAACAACATCCCATCCACCTCCGACTTCCTCTCCTCGACCGGCCTTCCTCTGGGCATGGTATTGCAGCCGTTGGCGCGCCTAGACGGCGAGCAGCCGATCCCGGTTCTGGACTTTGGCGACGCCGGGCCGCCGCGGTGCCGCCGGTGCAGAGCGTATATCAATCCCTTCATGTCGTTCCGCTCCGGCGGAAACAAGTTTGTTTGTAACATGTGCACATTCCCCAACGATGTGCCGCCAGAATACTTTGCCCCGCTGGACCCGTCCGGCTCGCGCATCGACCGCATGCAGCGTCCGGAGCTGATGATGGGAACCGTGGAGTTCTTGGTGCCGAAGGATTACTGGAATAAGGAGCCTGTTGGTCTTCAGTGGCTGTTCTTGATTGATGTCAGCCAGGAATCGGTGAACAAGGGTTTCCTGAAGGGCGTGTGCAAGGGTATTATGGAAGCGTTGTACAGCGAGGAGACGGAGAATCCCGAGGATGAGGCCCCCTCAAGGCGGATACCTGAAGGCGCCAAGGTTGGCATTGTCACTTATGACAAGGAGGTGCACTTCTACAACCTTAGTGTAGGTTCTCGAATCACCCCCTGTCGCTACTAAGCTTACAGTTCCAGGCACAACTCGACCAGGCACAGATGATGGTGATGACCGATTTGGAGGAGCCGTTCGTCCCTCTCAGCGAGGGACTGTTTGTTGACCCCTACGAATCCAAGTGCGTCTCTTACACCATCGTGGTTGAACTATGCAACTAACAAATCTAGGGACGTCATCACCTCTTTGCTGCAGCGCATCCCGACCATCTTCTCTCATGTCAAGAACCCACAGCCAGCCTTGCTGCCCGCCCTCAACGCGGCATTGTCTGCCTTGAGACCAACTGGCGGTAAGATCGTAGGCACGATCGCTAGCCTGCCCACTTGGGGTCCTGGTGCGCTGTCCCTACGGGACGACCCCAAGGTCCACGGCACCGATGCGGAGAGGAAGCTGTTCACGACCGAGCATGCAGGATGGCGTGAGACGGCCGGGCATCTGGCCGAAGCTGGAATCGGACTGGACATGTTCATCGCCGCACCGAGCGGAACATACATGGACGTTGCTACGATTGGTGAGTTGACACGTGCTACCCCTGCCTGACTACGCTAACGTTGGCAGGCCACGTCCCTGAGGTAACCGGCGGTGAGACCTTTTTCTACCCGAACTTCCACGCACCTCGCGATATCCGCAAGCTCTCGAAGGAATTGGCGCATGCGATCACGCGAGAGACGGGCTACCAGGCCCTGATGAAGGTCCGTTGTTCGAATGGACTGCAGGTGTCAGGCTATCACGGCAACTTTGTCCAGCACACGTTCGGAGCCGACCTCGAGATCGGAGCCATCGATGCCGACAAGGCTATCGGAGTGGTGTTCAGCTACGATGGAAAGCTCGACCCGAAGCTGGATGCCCACTTCCAGGCAGCCTTGCTGTATACTTCGGCTAATGGCCAGCGTCGGGTGCGGTGCATCAACACCGTGGCTGCAGTGAATGAGGGTGGCATGGAGACGATGAAGTTTGTGGATCAGGACGCAGTGGTCGCAATGGTGGCCAAGGATGGTATGTTTGCTCTGTCGGCAGGAATGACAAATGCTAATGAAAACTACAGCGGCCTCCAAGACCCTAGACAAGTCCCTCAAGGACATCCGGGCAAGCGTTTCCGAGAAAACGGTGGACATCTTCAGCGGATACCGCAAGATCTTCTCCGGATCTCACCCTCCCGGACAATTGGTGTTGCCAGAGAACCTGAAAGAGTTCTCGATGTACATGCTCAGCCTGATCAAGTCGCGGGCTATCAAAGGTAAGACCGCTCAATTCCCTTTTCGCTCACCGTCAATCGGAGGAACGCGGGTGTCTGACAGCATGCAGGCGGACAAGAGGCGTCGGACCGACGCATCCACGACATGCGGATGCTGCGGTCCATCGGGTGCACGGAGCTGTCACTGTACCTGTACCCCCGCATTATTCCGATCCACAACATGCAGCCGACCGACGGATTCCCCAACGAACAGGGACAACTGCAAGTGCCCCCCTCGCTGCGGGCCAGCTTCTCCAAAATTGAGGAAGGCGGGGCGTACCTGGTGGACAATGGGCAGCAGTGCCTGTTGTGGCTGCACTCACATGTGTCGCCCAACCTCCTGGAGGACCTGTTCGGTGAGGGCCAGACGTCGCTGCAGGGGTTGAGTCCACAGACCTCGACGATCCCAGTGCTGGAGACGCATTTGAACGCGCAGGTGCGCAATTTACTGCAATACTTCTCAACGATCCGGGGATCCAAGGCCGTGACGATCCAGCTGGCGCGGCAGGGTCTAGACGGGGCGGAGTACGAGTTTGCGCGGATGCTGGTAGAAGACCGCAACAACGAGGCGCAGAGCTCGGTAGACTGGCTGGTACACATTCACCGGCAAATCAACCTAGAGCTGGCGGGGCATCGCAAACGCGAGGACACAGCGGGGGAAGGTGGGTTGACAAGTTTGGCGGGTCTCCGAGCGCCATATTGGTAGGATAGAAGGGGGGAGGTTGAATACAGGGTACAGGGAACATTTCTACACATATTTTGGTTCAAGAGAAAGAATTTGGAAGAGAGGGGGGTGTGTTCCAGAAGCGGCAGTGACTTGCAATATACCACGGTTGAGAAGAGCGTTGACAGAAAGGGTTCAGTTCCGTACAGTTTGGATTCTTGGGATCCTTTTCAGGGTCTTTTTCTTTCTCACGATCAGACAATGCCCAGGAGGCAGCAGTAGCAGTAAGCAGTACGCAGTACGCAGTAGTAAGTAGAAAAAGGCAGGTATGGCGTAATAGTAGTATGGTGCATGCGCAAGTGTCTGTGCCACCACGATCACACCATGTAAAGAGAAAAAAGACGTACAATAAAGAGGCAACACCTTCCCAGAAAGGATAGGCACACGAGAAATCCAAGAAGAGCGGGGGGGCAATGAGGGGGTAAAGATTCTTAGCAGGAGGGGAAGAAAGAAAGAGAAGACCACAAAATCTAGATGGGCACAACGTTCTAGACTTCTAGACTTTCCACCCAAATCGAAGACTTTTCTCTACAAGGGAAGAAAATCGGGAAAAATTAGAATAAGGTCGGACTAGGTTCGGAGACTAGAATTAGTTTAGTAGTTTAGTGGGTGAGTGGTGGTGGCCTAAGCACAGCAACAGTGTGTTATGTGTGGTTCATCTCCACCAGGTGAGTTGAACTGAGATTGCGTAGGCATTACTGTCGTTGGTGGATAATGGATTGATTACTCAGTTTTTTTTCTCGGACGAGCAGCGAGCAGCGAAAAAGAACAGGCAAGGCAGGACAGACGAGCAAGCGAAGAATTCCGATCCGTGGATTTGGTTGGGAGGGACAGTGCGTTCTTTTTCTATTCGCCCCATTGCCATTGCCATTGCC